TGATGATGATGATGATGATGATGATGATCTGACATGATAATCATCATGACGCATCCTCAGCATCACCAGCAGTCATCATGATAATCATGTCCACGCATCTTCTGCATCTCAATTCGGGTCTAACGGGACACTTGAAACGTATATAAAAAATAGATAAGGACGATGACGAAGAAGATGATGATGATGAGCACCGTGATGATGATGCTGATGATGATGATGATGATGATGAACTGACATGATAATCATCATGACGCATCCTCAGCATCACCAGCAGTCATCATGATAATCATGTCCACGCATCTTCTGCATCTCAAATCGGGTCTAACGGGACACTTGAAACGTTGTAAAAAAAGATAAAGACGATGACGAAGAAGATGATGATGATGAACACCAACTGACATGATAATCATCATGACGCATCCTCAGCATCACCAGCAGTCATCATGATAATCATGTCCGCGCATCTTCTGCATCTCAAATCGGGTCTAACGGGACACTTGAAACGTATAGAATAAAAGATAAGGACGATGACGAAGAAGATGATGATGATAAGCGCCGTGATGATGATGATGATGATGATGATGATGATGATGAACTGACATGATAATCATCATGACGCATCCTCAGCATCACCAGCACTCATCATGATAATCATGTCCACGCATCTTCTGCATCTCAAATCAAGTCTAACGGCACACTTGAAACGTATATAAAAAAAGATAAGGACGATGACGAAGAAGAAGATGATGATGAGACTGTGAAGGCCCCTGTGCTTGTGCCAGTGCCGTTTTTTTTGCAGAAAGACACCACACCACCACGGGAAAGCAGGGGCCTCCACAGTCCATGCTCCATGTCAACTCCGCGGGATCTAGCTAGGCCAAGTGACATCGTGTGAAAGCCAGCGACCCTTGTTCTGACTCGCTTCCCAATCCCAACGATTCGAAATTGAGAGTTTGATGGAAGTGGAGAGGATTGGGTCTGCTTGCAAAATATTTATATTTCATGAGGCCTCCACAGTCCATGCTCCATGTCAACTCCACAGGATCTGGCAAAGCCAAGTGACATCTTGTGAGAGCCAGCGGCCTTTTTTTCTGACTCGCTTCCCAGTCCGAATGGTTCGAAAGTGAGAGGGCCACGAGAAAGGCTTTGGAAGATTCCTGTCCATTTCCATGACAGGACAAAGGCAAAGATGAAACCGATCGCATTCAATCCGACAGCTGGCCGCGCGACAAAAATAGCGCCGGCGCGGAAAGTGCCGAATTTATTGGGTTTGTGTGAAATATAGCTAATCCGGTGCTCTGGAGCGAGTCTGATCAACTCCTGCACGACTCGGGGCAAGCAAACAGAACTTCCCCTCCTACTAAGGCTCGGGGGATGGTAGGGTGCCTGAGATCAGATTCCTGAATTCCTTCTGGGAATACACCTGGGGCTAAAAGCAAAGGATCTTCTATAATTTCACGTTTTCGACAAAATAGGCCCGACTTGGGGCCATGTAGGGGCCTCCACAGTCCATGCTCCATGTCAACTCCGCGATTCCTGAATTCCTTCTAGGAACACACCCTGGGTTAAAAGCAAAGGATCTTCTATGATTTCACGTTTTCGACCAAATAGGCCCGACTTGGGGCCATGTAGGGGCCTCCACAGTCCATGCTCCATGTCAACTCCGCGGAATCTAGCTAAGCAGTGCCATCGTGTGAAAGCCAGCGACCCTGTTCGAAAGTGAGTTTTTGATGGAAGTGGAGAGGACTCGGGGCCTAGGCCTTCGACCGTGTCACAAGGAGATAAGGACAGCGGCGACGACCACCACGCCGATGATGATGATGATGATGACGATGATGATGATGATGATGATGTTGAATCTTCGGTTATGCTCATTTACCAGCCAGCCTTGGACTTGTAACCGCCCTTCCCGTACGCCTCCCCCTTTGAGGAGAAGGGGTGGCGGATATATATACATATATAGACCCTCATCCTCAGGGCATCAGTGTTTTCTTGGGGTTGCCGGAGCATGAAATCAGCTGGGCGGCGAACACTTTGAAACGCCCCCTGCCCCTCCAGATTCTGTGTGTGCCTGACCAATACTACATATATGTCAGCATGTGTGTGTGCAAGGCATGATCTATTTACGCATATAGAGGCCTTCATCCAAACCAGCTTTGCGACTTAGAAACGCCCCGTGCCCAGGTTCTGCTGATTGGACTTGTCTGTGAGTACACATGACCAA